CTGCAGGTCTCCGAACCCCCCACCTTTTCTAGTACACCTCTTGTAGTGGGTTGAATAGTGCTCCCCACCCTGAAGTTTACGCTCTTCCTGAAACCTTAGCTTTGGATCTTTTTCTTTTTTTTGGAAACAAAGTCTTTGCAGATGTAATTAGTTAAGATTAGGTCATAGTGGAGTAGGGTGGACCCTAAATCCAGTGTGGCTGGTGTCATCGTAAGGAGGAGACAGCCTCAGAGAGGACAACGCCATGTGAAGACGGGGAGAAGGGACGGGAAAGATTGCTGAGTGAAGACAGAGGCAGAGACTCGAGTGATGTGTCTGTATGACAAGGACAGCCAGGATCACCAGCAAGCCCCAGAAATAGGAAGAGGCGAAGAAGGACTCACCCCCAGAGCATTCAGAGAGAGTGTGGCCCTGCCAGCATTTTGGTTTCAGACTGCTAGTCTCCAGAACTGTGAGACAATAAATTTCTGTTCTTTTAAGCTGCTTCGGCACTTTGTTGCAGCATCCCCAGCAAACAAATACACCTCTTTCCTGTTGTACAGAAAGCGGGGAGACTTGCAATCATCATGGGTCCCAGGTGTGGTTGTGTAGAAGTTTAGTATATCAAGGCTAACCCAAGGAGGAGAAGGATGAAAGGAGCATATGTTTGTCTGACATTTGACTTTACACAGATGGACTTAATCATCCCCAACATGTAAATATAGTCCCATTTCACAGATGAGGAAAATGAGGCTCAGAGAAGGGAAACGATTTCCCCTAAAGCTCATTTGTCCCCTATCTCTAGTGCATGATGAGGAGCAAATCCAGGCTCCAGTTTGAGTTCCAAGGAAGCAGGCTACTCACCTCCCTTCTCTGAGCCTCATTTTCTTCATCTAGAAAATGGGAATAACAGTGTCTGCCTCTCAGGTGCTTGTGAGAATAAAATGAGTTTATCCTGTCATTTAACAAATGTTTATTGAAAGCCTCTGTGCCAGCCCCTGCTCTGGGTCCTGGGGGTACAGCTGCAAACAAGATAGGCAGAGTTCTCGCCCCCAAGGATTATCATGCTTGGCAGGGTCTCTGCAGGGGCTGGCACAGATACTCATATATGTATATACCTATGGATGATTCATGTTGAGGTTTGACAGAAAACAACAAAATTCTATAAAGCAATTATCCTTCAATAAAAAAATAAATTTAAAAAAATTGATGGGGATAAGGATACAGGATTGAAGGGGGACAGTGGGTGGGACAGGTTTGGCCTCTAAGAGTAGTTCACTTCAGCACTACTTCTCTGCCACTGTCGGTGGTGGTCCAGCCCCCTGGTCCAGGAGGACACAAGGTCCTCTTGGTTGGAGGCTCATGTTTTGGGACATTGAGCTGGTCTAAGCTGCCTCCCTAAAGCCAGGAGAACTCTCTGTCCCAGGCCGGCACCGTGGAGGCAACTGCAGGAGCCTTGGTCTTGTCACAGAGCCCTGCCCAGCTGCACTGTCCCCCTCAGCCACACAGCCTCAGCTCAGCCCCACCCACTCTCTGACGCCGTCCCTGGGCCAGGCCCGAGCCTGCCCTGGAGGCTCTCCCAGCTGTCCTGATGTCCCCTCTCGCTTCTGCAGACGCTCCCCCTTCCACCCCTGGAGGCTTCAGCTGGGCACCAGCCCCACCCCCTCCAGAGGCGTCCCCAGACATCACCCCTGTGCTATTCTCTTTTCCTGACAACTGTGGCATCAAATGTCAACCAGGCTCTGCTCAGCACCAGCAGGCCGGGACAGGGGGGCAGTTCTTGATAACTGTGTGGTTTAGGAGGGGGTCCCCCAGGAGGGGCTAGGAAGGGCTGGTCCTGATCTGGCTCTGCTCCCAACTCTCTGCTCTGCCTTGACCAAACTCCTTCCTCCCCAGACCTCAGCTTCTCTGAGCCACGAAGGGGAGGCAGTCCTCTCTGGGCTTTTAAGGATAAAAGGGGACACAGGCAAAACCCTTCAGGGACTGGGAATGTGCTGGGTGAGTGGCAGTGGGTTCCAGGGAGCTGACTGTCTTCTAGGTGGGTTCTGGAAGAGGGTTTCCGGGGGCGCAGAGCAGCTATGCCTGTCAGACCTCAACGAAGCCTGTCCTTCTGTCCTCACTTGCCCCGAGTGAGCCAGGACAGCTGGCACTGCGCTAGGGAAGCAGGCTCCGGCGGGCCCTGACAGCTCAGCAGTGGCAGCGGTGGAGGTGGCGGTAGCCACAGACGCAGGGGCTATTCTGAGAGCTGGGAGGGCATGGGGAGCTGAGACTGGAGGAGGGGAAGCAGCTGGGAAGACACGGTCCTGTGGGGGTGACAGGAGTGTCACTGTGTGGCCTGAGAAGGGGTCTGCCAAGGGCAGTGTGCCTTGGGAGAGCTGGGTAGTATGTGTTCATCGCTGGGAGGGATGGACCCGCTGAGGTATAAGACATGCCCTGGGATTGTTTGGTGTATGTACACAAGTTTTGTGATCCAAGTACGAGCTGACCCAGTAAAGCAGGCGTCTGAGTGTGACTGTGTGTGCACTGGAATGCAAGTGAGTTAAGTCCAAGGGAAGCAGCAAACGTGCCTATGTGTAGAAGGGGGAGGAGAGCGAGCGTGAGCAAGTGGGGGCTTGTCTGTGAGCAGAAATGAATGTGGGAGTGGTAGGGAAGGTAAATGGGAGCTTGAGAGCAGGTGTGGGGGAGGGGAGGGGAGTGGGAGAGAGACCTGGGGTTGGGACCATAGGAACTTGAGGGTCTGTGTAATTGGGACACATGTGTGAGGGACAGAGACAGGTGTGCCTGCGAGCAAGCCCGAGTGTGTGAATGGACACGATCGTGTGTGTGATGACAGCAGGTGGGACAGTGTGACCTGGGACAAACAGGGAGGGAAGGTAACACCAAACAGTAATAAAAAAATGCTAGGATTATTGAGCACTTACTATGAGCCTAATGCTAACATTCATGATTTTACTGAATTCTCCAAATAGCCTCTGAAATTTGTGCTATGATGATACTCATTTATAGATTAGGAAATAATCTATTTGGATTTGGGCAGTTAAGGAACTTGTCCATACTTTAATCAGTAATGTTAGACGACCTCACGATGAACATGTGAGCAGGAAGCAAGTTGTGAGTAGAGAAAAATGAGTGTCTGTGTGCACGGTGGGGATGTGTGTGTGTCATGTGGAGTGGGGACTGAGTGTGCCAGTGTGGGACCCAGACTAGAGTCCAGGCAGAAGCTGCGGACACTGGGCAGGGCAGGGGCCAGAGCAGAGCCTGAGTCAGCCTCTAGGGCATCTCTGCCAACCTGGCTTCCCAGCCCCACAGCAGCCTGTGCCAGGGCCCCCAGCTAAGGATCCTCCCTGCTCTGGTATGGCCCCCAGCAGGCCCCGTCTCACAGAGCAGGCTAAGCCAGAGCTGAAGACTAGCAGGAGGCCTGCCTGGCTTCCAGGGAACTTGAGGGGGCAGCCCCCAGCATGGGCTCGCCAGGCACGGAGGGCATATGAGAACTGTGGGAGGGAGTCCAACAGTGATTTCAGGGCCCTTGTGTCTCTAAACTGAACCACCTGGAGGGTGTGTATACGTAAGCAGAAGGGGGGCGGCCAATGGTTCCCATGCCCACCCTTGCCTTCAGAATGTGACTCAGGCAAATGCCACGCCAGGCATTTGCAAGCTGGACCTGCTCCCACCCTGGCGGGGGGGGTGGTTGGCCAGGAGGGGCCTCTCCAGTCCCACCCCCATCCTCACCCTTGGCCCTACTCCTTGGGACCTAGGCTGAAAGGAAGGAATTTTGGAGAGGGCTGTCTCCTGTGGCCTGGGCCCAGTCCTGCACAGAGAACTTTCTGCAAGTTGCAGTGTCCAGCCTCTCCAGGAATGTGGTACTGGCTGGTGAGCCTGAGTCTAATCCTGGCCATTCCATCTGGGCAACTCACTTGCCCACTCTGGACCTCAGTTTCCTGATTGGCAAAAGAGAAATATTGTCCTAGAGGAACACAGAAATTACTGGCAGAGAAGTGATCTGCGCAAGCAAGGGACAAGGACAGTGCTGAGAGTTGGGTTAAAGAAGGAATCAGGGATGAGTTAAGCTGAGTTCTGAGGGATTCGAGGATCTCTGATGACAGCATCTGAGCTGGAGAAAGGGTGTTTTAGGCAGAAGGGATACACAAAGCAAAGGCTGGCAGGTGGAGTGTTGGCTGGAAACCTAGCCTAGGGCCCTGTGGGATGAGATCATAGGCTGCCCAACTGCTCAGCTGGCCTCTTCCTTCTGAGGCCATACAGTGATCTGACAACATCTGACTTCTCCACAGCCTATGCTGTAGGGACCTCATCTGTCTCCATTACTGCTCTTGCCTTAATATCCGGAACAGTGCACATGCATCAAAGGTGCTCAATAAATATGTTAAGAGAAACGAGAAACTTCTCCCCAAACAGGATGAAATTTGAGGCAAGTGTTTGTTCCAACAACCCTGGCAACAGCCTCCAACAGACTCTAAAATAGTGGTTTGCAAAGTGTGGTCCAGGGTGCATCACCTGGGAACTTGTCAGAAATGCAAAGTCTCAAGCCGCAACCCAGACTAACCTGGCTGGAGCACAGTAAAACGTTTTAACAACCTCTCCAGGTTGATTCTACTACACGTTAAACCAGGCACTCTGAATGCCTACGAAAAACAACTTGCAGATGGAGAAGCCAAAATTGTGGCCAAGCCTGACTCAGAACCCAGGTGTTCTTGACCCTCTCCTTTCCCCCAGCCCAGGGCAGAAAGAAGAGAACAACTCCATCATCCACCCCACCAGGTTTCTGGAACGAAGATTTGGAAATACCAAGGGTCTAGAAACAGAGGGCGGGGCATTCCTCCCGGGAATAGAAGGCGGGGCCATGTGTTCTGAGCCCCGCCTCATTTCTGTTGCCCCGGGAAACCCCGGGTTGTAACAATAACCCGCTGACGCGCTTAGGGGAGGAATCCTGCCGAGTCCGTGGGCGGGACAGCCCTGCTACGGACCAATGAGAGTGCTCGGGCCCCGCCCCCGCGCCCCCGCCCCTAGAGCAAAGCAGGGGGCGGGGTCGCGCCCGCCGCGTCTTCCCTGCTCCGTAGGCGGCGCTGTTGCGTGCAGGGGCTGCGGCGGGGTCGCCCCCGGCCGGGAGCCCCGCGCCTCCGCCTCCAGCCTGCGGGCGGGGCACCCGGCCCGCCAGAGGATTCCGCGGCCGCGGGCGGGCACGCCCCGCCCTCTCCCGCGCCGGGCCCGCCCCCCTCCCTGTCCCCCGCCCATCTGAGGTGCAGCCGGCGCTGAGCGCGGCAGGCGCGGGAGCTGGCGCTGGAGCCGGAGCGGCGGCGGCGGCGGCATTCACGGGGCGGCGGCGGCGGCGGCGGCGGCGGCGCGGGCTCCGGCACGGTCTCGGGCTCCGGCATGGTGCAGTCCGGCTTCGTCCCGGGAGAGTGGGGCCCGCGTGCGGGGTCGGCGCCGGGGGAGCGGCGGCAGCGACGGTGGCGGTGGTGGCTGCAGGCACAAGCAGGCGGCAGGTGCTAGAAGCGGGGCTGGGCGAGGTGTGTGCCCGTTGGGCTCCGGGGCCGCCGCTCTCTCACTGCCCCCCTCTTTTCCTCCCTTCGGGCTTCCCAGCACGTCCAGCCCCCTGTCTCCGCGACCTGGCCCATGGCGCCCCGCGGTTGAGCCGGCGCCGCCAGGGACCCCTCCCGCGGGCCTCCCAGGGGCGCGCAGATCCCGGAGCCGCCCGCCCACCCTCCGCGGAGCCCCCCTCCCCTCCTCGCCCGAGCCGGGCGGGACCATGGCTGCGAAGCTGCGAGCGCATCAGGTGGACGTGGACCCGGACTTCGCGCCGCAGAGCCGGCCGCGCTCCTGTACCTGGCCCCTGCCGCAGCCCGACTTGGTCGGCGACGAGGACGGAGCGCTGGGTTCTGGGGTGGCCGAGGGCGCCGAGGACTGCGGGCAGGAGCGCCGGGCCACGGCCCCGCCGATGGCCCCAGCGCCGCCGCTGGGCGCGGAGGTCGGACCGCTGCGGAAAGCGAAGAGCTCCCGGCGGAACGCGTGGGGGAACCTGTCCTACGCCGACCTCATCACCAAAGCCATCGAGAGCGCCCCGGACAAGCGGCTCACGCTCTCGCAGATCTACGACTGGATGGTCCGTTACGTGCCCTACTTCAAGGATAAAGGCGACAGCAACAGCTCGGCCGGCTGGAAGGTGGGGGCGTCGGGCTGGGGAGGGGTGCTGGAGCCGTCGGCTGGGGCTGCCAAGGGCTGCTAGATGCCTCTGGGCACCCGGTGGGCGGTCTGGAGGGAGACCCTGGGGCACCCCCAGGGGTCACAGAGTGTGTGCCCAGGGCGTGGGGCCGGCCGGCAGACAGGCGGGGGCGTGCTGGGAGCAGCTGTGTGCATGCTCTGGATGCAGGGTGGGAGGTCTGGTGGGGTGACAAGGGACTCCCACTTTGAAGCACCCCTGAGGGTGCCTCACCCCATCCCTGGGGGCATAGCAGAAGAACCTGTGCTCAGGCCTCAGACACTGGGGACCCCTCTCTTACCCGCCCCGGTCTGCTTTGTGTTACTCTCTTTTTACCCTCTCCACCAGGGCACCCTCCTTAAAGAGCTGAAATAATGACTTGGGGCCAGTGGCTGCTTTCCTCCCAAATCTTTCCCACTGCCCTCCCTGAAGCTGACCTCAGGGTGAGGAGTGCGACCCTAGGCCCACAGTTCTTTCTGTAGTGCCAGGAGTTCACCCTAGGGCACCAGCCAGTCTGAGGTGGGGAACTGGTCAGGTGATCTGAGTTCTCCATGGGGCAGCTGCTGTCCCCCCTTGCCTGGATCAGCACGGTGGGCTGGTGATGACCCCTGCTGGTGTGAGGGCAGGGTGTTGAGACCCGGGGATCTGTCTGTGCCCACTCCAGGCTGTCTGTCTCCCACTTCCCTGGTTTTCTGAGCCCAGATGCATTTGGGGGTGGGGGGAGGGGGAGGGGCACCCCAGGGAGGTCTCAGTACCAACCACTGGAAAGGGGGGGAGCCATCTTGGGAGAGGACGGGGGTCTTGACTGGATTGTGGCCTCCAGACCCTCCCCTTGTTGGGGGAGGCTAACTTGTTGGGGAATGGGGATAGTTGATGCCTTTGGAGGAGAGGAGGCTGGTGGCGGGGGGGGGGGGGGGGTTGGGCCAGGCCTAGGGCCTGTAAGCTTTCAGCAAGAGGGGGTCTCTATGAGGGAGACATGCCTAAATGGAGGGAAGGGGCTGCGATTGGTGGTGGTAGGCAGGGTCAGGGGAAGGAGGTGTGCCAGTGGAGGAGGGGAGGCTTGTGGACATGAACAGCACGAGGTGCCCGGCGGCTATGTTGTAGGGGCCACAGTGCGTTGACCTGGGAGCCCATGGCTCTCAGGCTTTATGCTGGCAGCGCTTATGTTTCTCTGGCCACTACTGGGTGGGGATGCAGGCTGGAGTAGCAGACCTGAGTCCTCCTCTGCATCCTTTAGCTGGTCCCCCTGGGCTCAGCCCTCAGCAGAACACTTGTTCCTCCTAAGTGGGTGCTGTGTTTTGCTCCCACCTCCCCCTGCTGCACTGTCCCACCCTTCACTTCTTGTAAATTGTCCCTGTCTTCAAGGGCATAGAGTTCAGACACCTCTTCCAGGAAGCCTTCCCTAACCCCTTTTAGCTAGCTCAGGACTCCCTCATCTCTGGTCCTCTCCCTACCTGTCATAAGTCTTAGTCTTTTGTGTCCTGTCTCATTTCCCTTCCCCACCCCCTTTGGAAAACAGTGGCAGTGTTAGCTCAATCTCTGTGCCCACAACACCAAGCATAGCGCCTGGCACCAGGAGCTACCAGTGCATGTCTGGTAAAAGAGTAAAGAAGTGAGTGGATGGTGCAGAGGGTGCTGAGACCAGGGAGGATACTGTGAGTCAGAGCAAGCCAGGAGGGCTTCCTGCAGGAGATGGAGCTCCAAATGGGGTTGAAGGGTTAGGGATGATGGGGAAGATGGCAGGAGGGAACATAAGGCTTGAACCCGAGAGAAAACTACAGTGCACTGAGGGTCTCAGGGCCAAGCCCTCTGCCAGGCAGCTTCAGGCATCTGTACCAGGTGTCACCTTTAATGCCCTCTGCACTGCCTGAGGTGGATTTTACTGTCATCACTTACAGAACTGGGCACTGAGGCACAGAGTGGAGAAGCAAACTGCCCAAGGTCACAGCCAATAGATGGGAAAGCTGGATTCCAGTCTAGCTGTGTCTCCCTCCAGGGACCCAGAGCCTCTGGAATAGTGTCCTGCTTGCCCTGGGCGTGGGAGGGGGACACTGACAGCTTTCAAACAGGGATGGATCTAAGTCTGAGAGTGGGATTGGGAAGGTACTTGGAGATAATATAGTCCCATGAGTTCATTTTGCAGACTGTGAGACTGAGGCCCTGGCAGGGAATGGGACTCTTCCCAGGTCATCAGCAGCAGGCCCTGGATGATGGCCCAGGCCTCCCGCCTGCCCTTTGGATGCGGTGTCCTCTGCACCACACTGCTGGGGACACACTGCTTCTCCCTGTCCCTGGGCTCAGGAAGGCTTGCCCTGGGCTGGGGCATTGGTGAGGGGTCCTCAGGCATGGGCTCCTCACCTAGACCTGGCAGAGACCCCTGCAGCACCAGAGGAGGGCTGTTCAGAGAGACCTCTGGCTTTTCCCGTCTCATCCCCTCAATGGCTGTCCTCCTCCTATCCCACCCGCATCCAGCTCCCCAGGGAGCCTCCTCCCCCTCTCATTCCCACCCCTCCCACCACCTGTTCCCCCATTCCCAATCAGTCCCTCCAGGGGCTGGGTGGAGGGGCCATTCTCAACTCCCAGCCACCCTCTGGTTACAAAGCCTGTGGGACCCTTCAGGTGCCAGGGTTGGGGCCAGGTACCCACTGTTCCTTCCCCCCTCCCCTCCCCCACATAAGTGTTACCCTTCAGCCCCTGGGGTGTACTGAACCCTGTGACTGGTAGAGTGGGGGACCAGTGGGGGAGGCATTGGACCTACCTTCAGGATGCATCGGGGTTACCCAAGCCCTATGTTCTACAGGCAGGAAGGGCTTGGGGGTGGGCACTGGGGGGGATAGGGGTGTGGTGAAGGCGGGGAGATCCCCTGGGGAGCCAGGCAAGCCCTCCCAGAGAAGATGGCACGCGATCTGGTCTGTCTTCACTGGGTGGGGAGGGTGGGTAGAATTTGGGGGAAAGTCTTCCAAGGGATACTGACTGCGTATGCAAAGGCAGGGAGGTGGAATTCATACGCTGGGTTTGGGAGACTGTTGGGCGTGCCAGGCTGGAACTAAGAGCTCCTGGAGGTGGCAGGGCTGTGTCATGGGAAAGGCCGAGCGGGCCAGATCAGGAAGGGCTTGACCTTTGCCCTGTGGCCCCACCCGGGCTGTGGGATGACAGTTCAGAGGTGTTGCAGAGAGGAAGTGGAGGAGGCAAGATCAACAGCAGGCGCAGGGCACCCAGCAGGCTGAAGCCCGAAGACAGACTGGGCTTGGTGGGAGAGGCTGGAAGAGTTGCCGTCAGGGCGTAGGGTCTCCAGGTCTGGGGTGAGGGCTTGGACAGGAAGTCTCCCTCCCTCTGCAGGGCCCGGAAGTGTGGCTGTCCCACATCCAGGTTGTTACTGTTGTTCAGCCGCTAAGTCATGTCAACTCTTTGCTACCCCTGTGGACTGTAGCGTGCCAAGCCTCCCTGTCCTTCACCATCCAAGTAGGGTCTCCCACTTCCTCTCAGATACTCTTGTCCCTCCTTCCCTAGTGCTGGACTCCTCCAGGAAGCCTTCCAGGCTGCTCTGGATCCTGGTGCTCCTTCTACTTAGCACCCCTGGAGTTGTTCTGCCTGCTTTTGTGTTTCCTGGCTGCCAACTCCCCTGGGAGCTTTCAGGCCAGGCCTGGGTGCCTCCCATTCCTGTCCCAGGACAGGTGGGGTTGGGGCCCAGTGGAGGGGGACTCCCCTTCTCCCTCAGTGCCTGGAGCAGCTTGGCTGTTGTGGGGTGGGATCAGGAGGGGTGGTGCCCCCCCCCCCCCATACCACCCAGGCTGGCCAGTAGGTCCTAGGTGGGGTGGGGTCTAGAAGGAAGGGGCTGCTCCTTGAGGCCACGAGGAGGGTCCTGAGACAGCCCGGCTGAGCAGTGGTTTGCTTGCAGGGCTCCCCTTTCCTCCCTGCAGCCCGTTCCAGCAGGGCTCCCTCCTCCTCCTTTGTCCTCCGGGGATCCCCAGCCCCGAGGGCTGGTGGGGGTGTGGGAGGAGGCGGTGTGAGCCCGGGTTGGGGGGTGTCCTCACCCCCCGCGCTGCACGAGCGGGGGGCTGGCAGCTGCCCGCCTCCTGGGCACGAGCCCGTGCCAGCCGCTCCTGGCACAGTTGCTGGCACGCCCGGCAGACTCCCACGGCCACCTGCTCACACCCACCCACGAGCGCTGGCGCGCGGCGGGCCCTTCCGGCTTCCCGGGCCTCCCGGCTCCCCTCCCCCGCTACCGCGCCCCTCCCGCCCCCAATCCCCTCCCAGTCCTCTGCTCCACGAAGGCCCCTCACTTCTGCCAGCCGCGTGCGTGGCCCCCTGGCCGCCCCTCCCCAGGAACTTGGGGAGCTCGAGAGGCAGGGCCGCCAGGAGGCCCCGGGGGTAGCTGCACCAATGCGGCGAGAAGGAGGGGCGGACCCGGAGGCAGACAGACAGACCGACATACAGGGTGAGGGCCCCCGCCTGCCACCTGGCGCCGCTCCAGCGGGACGATGGCGGGCAGCGCCGTGCCAGGCGGTAATTGCAGACAGACTAATTTAAAGAGATGAGACGGTTATTTTTAACTCCTGTTAAGGTAATGAACGGCGCGGGGAGGGGGGTGTGCAGGTTCGAAAGTTCAGCGCCCCCCCAGCCCCCACTTTCTGCGGGTTGGGGCTCCCCTGCCTGAAGGCCCTGAGGACCCAGCTTCAGGACTGAGGAGTGGAGGGGCTCTGCCAGAGAGGGGGAAGGGCTCAGAGGGCTGGGGAGCAAGCGCCCACCGGTCCAGGCTGGTGTTAGATCCCACTTTCCCAGCTGGAGAAGTGACTTGTCTTAGGATCACCTCCCTAAGAACTGGCAGACCTGGGAACTGAACCCCCTTATACACCCCAAACTCATGTGTTTCTTCCTGTGCCATTAGGGCTGGGATGGGGAGGGATTTGGAAAGGGGGCAGGCTTGTTTCTAGTAGCCCACCTTCTCTCATCTTTGAGTGGCA